ACATATCCTCAGGAAACAATTTTTAAAAAGAGAGAGAAATGAATGGTTTTGTTCTTTTAACTTCCATTGCCCACCTCTCAAGACCAAACACGCCCCAGTGAATTGGCTGACCACACTCGGTTCTCATTTATTGGACGCATTCCTGGTATCCTTTGAGCAGGAACAGTACATGTTACACCTTCTCTCTTCCCCAGTGTATTGTTCTTCTTCTTCTGACTTCTTTAACTTTTCATTTGTCCTCTGTTTGTTTTATTAAAATTTAAAAAAATTATTACAGTCAACATATTAGTTTCAGGTGCACAGCATAGTGATTAGACTTTTATGTAACTTAGAAAGTGATCATCTCCGTAAGTCCAGTACCCACCTGACACCATACGTAGTTACTACAATATTACTATGTTCCCTATGCTGGGTTGTGACTATTTTTTTTTTTTAGAGAGGGGAAGAGAGGTAGAAATAGAGGGAGAAAAACAGCAATGTGTGGTTGCTTCTCACGCACCCCCCTAGCGGGGACCAGCACAGTCTTGACCTGTGCCCTGACCGGGAATGGAACTGGCAGCCCTTTGCTTCGCAGTCTGGCACTCAGTCCACTGAGCCACACCAGCCAGGGTGTGACAGTTTTTATAATTGACAATGTGCACATTTTAATCCCTTCCCCATTTTCACGCAGCCACCCAGAACCTCCCATCTGGCAAAGAGCAATTTGCCCTCTGCATCTGTGAGTTTGTTTCTGTTTTGTTTATTTTGTTTTTTAGATTCCATATATATAAGTGAAGTCATATGGTACTTGTCTTTCTCTGATTGACTTATTTCACCTAGCATATAACTGTCTAGGTCCATCCATGTCACAAGTGGCAAATTTTTATTCTATTGTATGGCTGAGTAATATTCCAGTATATATATACCATAACTTTTTTTACGCATTTGTCTATCAATGGACTCAGGTTACTTCTGTATCTTGGCTTTTTTTTTCCTTTTTGTCTTTGTTCTGCCCAAACCCAAAATTCTTGGAGAGGGAAAATTGGACCTAGCCTTGGTTAGTGGAAAGGAAGTCACTATATTTCTTCCCCACATTAAATTCTCTTCCCCCAGTGTTTCGTGGCTCAGTAGGAGACCAGGTCGAATGTTTCGAGTCGCCCTTCTGCACCAAACAACCCGCTTATTTCACTGCCTGGAATGGTGGTGAGTTTATCTTTGGCCGCAGTTAAACTTTGCTCTAACTTTGGAAGGGCTGCTAAAAATAACATTAGAAGAGAGGCATCATGCATCCCTTGTTAAAAGAGACAATGAGTAGAGAGTGCCTTAGAAAGAAAAAGCTCTTTAAAATAAAGTGTAATTATGTCATTTTACTGTGATGTTGAGTCCCAAATATAAACAAGCTAATAATGAAATTGCCTTCCATTTTCAGAGCCTTAAATACATTATATCCATCCTAACAATAATGTGGCACCATAGGGTGAAAAACAGGCATCAACATCTCTTTCTGCTCTTCCACGCACTGCTATGTGGCTCTGGGCAAGTTAGTCTTGCCGGGCCTCGGGTACTTCATCGGTAAAATGGGGATGCTAATACATCACAGGATTGTGATGAGGATTAAGTTAAATTACATGACATTCTACCCTTCTCGAAATGATCTGTGTCTCCCCTGTGGGCACAGGGTTCTGTATCAGGAAATGGACAAAGCCAGAGAATAATTACGCCGTCTCTTCCCCGGATGTCAGTCAAACTTAGAAATTTGTGGTAGTCGGTGGGAGGACGTTTTCTTATTTAAATAAGAGCAGATACATTATGTGAGGTCACCTTAGTTCTTAAGGAGAAACTCACTACATTAAAGAAATGCCTCGCTTGGGACGGGTGACTCTGTCCTACCCTTGGAGCCCCTGGGGACCGCTCCTTTATCATTAGGAGTTTTTCCATGGAAACGTTTGGTGCATGACAGAGGCTGGCATAGTCAGCACCACGTAGCACAGTCTCACTTAACTTCCCATCCTTGTGTTGCGAAGTACCCGACTGCATTTCCGTCACACATACCTGATATGCCCTCTTAGACATGGCTACCATTGAGCTCTCCATCATCCCTCCAAACCTGATTCTTAGCCCATGTCCCCTATCTTAGTAATTGACACCACCGTCCGTTCAATTATGCAAGTCAGGATCCAAAGGAGTTGCCTTTGACCCCTCTCTCTTTTCGTCACTTCCCGCATCGAATCCTTAACTTCACGTTGTGGCAACAGTGCCTCCTTCATGTGTCTGGAATGTATCCTTCGCCCGCTGCCATCACCTTCTGTCTAGGCTTCTGTAATCTCCTCCACAACTGGCCTACTTCTGATCCATTCTCCATGCTAACGTGGACATTGATCTTTCAAATACTCGACTCTTACCATTTATTCCCTTTGCCCTTAGAAGAGCATGATCCATGAGGCGCTGCATGACCCAGCCCCTCTGCCCCACTGGGCGCATCTTGAGTCATTCACCTGCTGCTGGTGGCTGCAGTTGCATGAGCTTGCTTTCTCTTTGTCCGTGGCCCCGTGACTTCTCTATCAGGAGCCATCACCCAGTTTGCTGTGTCTGGAGTGTTTCCCAACGCCCATACCTGCCTGTCCTTTGCTGAGATAATGTATTTTCAACTTTCAAACTGAATTCAGAGGTCTCGTCCTCAGGAAAACCTTTTCTAATGCCCCCGTGGGGGAGGTTATTTATCATGTGTTCTGGTAGAACCACGTCCCTTTCTTTTAAGAGGCCTTATCTCAATTTGTAATCATATATTAGGTAATATCATTTGATGACTCTGAATTGAACATTAGTCTGTAAACTCTATGAAGGTAGAGACTGTCCCTTTGGTCACCATCACCTCGAGCACGTAGCAGAGTGACTTTAACCATGGGCAGCTTGTCCCTCAGCAGCGAGAGAGCTGAGGTGCTAATGGCTAAGTACTTGGCCTGAGGTCGTCTATGTTCTACTGATCCTTGCTATCTCAGACCTCCAGGTTAGGGTTTTGCCCATCTTGCTGCAAGTACTTGGTTTAGCACTGTGGGTCCAGGCCGTCTACTTTATTCTGTGGTTTTGAATAGCCCCTTGGAAATCGTTTTGTTTAAGACACCTCTGTGTAATGTAGGTGGTTCAATACAGGATGGCAAAGCATGTCTTCATGTGTGCTTTTTGGGTGGCTTTATGTTACTCAGAAAACCTCATAACAAACTTTTTACCTAACACCCCATCTCCCCTGACCTATCCAGTCTTTTCCCATTGTGCTGCTCAGCAAATTATTTTTAAATCAGGCAGAACTTTCTAACCTAACTGTATGCAGTTCTTTCTCCCTTCTCCGGTTGTTCCTCCTCTGCATAAAGAACACCTCTTTGCCCTTCTGCCACTGGGTATCAGGTCACGTGGTATGGGGCCATAAAGCTCCTCCCTCCCCTGAAACAAACACTGCTCCAGTGGTCCCTGTACCACCGCTGATGCGTGTTCTTTCGTACAACCTTCCTGCTCTCACCTCTGGGGGGGGGGGGGTGTATTTATATGTATCTGTTTTATTATTATGTTCTCAGTAAGCTTTATGTGAGTGCAGCCTAACCTAACATTTCTTTTTCAGTCTTGTGCCCCTTAATTTATTGTAATTTAAGTCCCGAAATAGATCATCAGTGATTTTCAGCCTTGATATAGCTGAGAATAACCCGGAGAGTTTTTTATTACAATATACATGTCCCACCCTGGACCTATTAAATCAGAGTAGCTGGGGCTGAATGTTTTCCCAGACTGACGAAGTGACTTGACTAAGGTCACATAGCTAGTGGGAAACTGAGTTAGAACCACAGCCCCTGTTTCCTTGCTTGCTTTCTAATTCTTATCGCCATTCCTTGTATTAAATTATACTGGGTTATTAACACACATATTAAATTATATGTGTGTAAGTGTGTGTGTGTGAGGGAGAGAGAGAGAAAGAGAGATCCGTATATGAATCTGTATGCATAAAACAGTTTCCTTCTTTTATAACTGGCTTTTTCCCCTGAATAACTCTATGTCGAAAGGATATGGAGATTTTCAAACTGACAGCAACAACTAAAATAACCTCTCTCCTCCTGCACTCAGTATTCACCCAGAACCTGCAGTGTCAGCTGCTGGTGGAGCTTGCTTTCTTAGGGGGCAGGGGCGCTGCTCATCTCCACACCCAGCCTTGGGCCGCAGGCCTGCCCTTCGGTGCCACCCCCCGCTGCTCCACTCCTGCCTCTATCTCCACTTGAACTGCCCTCCATCGTGCCCACTGATTCAAAAGGAAATGTTCCCTCTTCCCTCCTCCAGCTCCCACCTGCGGGAGCTTTTGGCTCAAGTGAGTGGTGGGTCCCGGTGGAGGCACATTTGGTAATGAAACAGTCCATCCCTCGCTCGGCTGCTCCACCTTGGAGCGGAGAGAGGACAGCAGTGGAAGGCTGTCCCCCAGGCATCCCTTGCTGGCCCTTGGTCCCTCCATCCAGAGATCTCTTTAGGAGGTATTTGCATACCATTTTTGTATTAGCTGGGGAGCAAAAGAATCCTCAGTGAGACATGAGCTACATTAACTAGATCTTTAAAAAGGAATCTCGTCTATGAAAAAATACCACACTCAGGCAAGCACGCCATAACACAGAGGATAAACTGAGATCAGAGGTCATGTTTCTGACTTGAGTCCTGGTTGCTCTTCACAATGAGCTTGTGACTGACAGGTTGCTGAGCTTCTCTCACCAGAGTCTCCTCAACTGTAATCAGGGTGAAATAAATTGAAATACTAATGTCTACCGCACAAGTAATTTGTTCACTGTTGTAAACATTAAATGAAATACCTGATTAAAATGCTTATCATCGTATCATAAAAATGTTAGCTGATGTCATTAACTTATGTTAGTAAAGTAGAATTTACAGAAGCTTTCCCATATATTACATTTCAATATATTTAAATATGATCCCTTCAAAAGACATTTTGCTACCTATTCACAACTGCTTCTCTGTCTGTGTTTTGCTTGTAGCCCTGGAGAGGAAAATATCAATGCGGCAAAGCAGAGAGGAGCTGATAAAAAGAGGAGTCTTGAAGGAAATTTATGACAAAGGTAAGAGGACTGGTCTACCCTTCACGGGCTAGAAAGCTGTGCATGGAATCTGTGCCTATTTCTCAGAGTTGGATACAGTTTTCTGCATCACTTTATCTGGGTTTGAAGCTTTAAAAGTCCAGACGATTTTGGAGGGAAAAGAGAATGTAGCTGACAGCGATAAAACTATCAGTTTTATATGAGGGGGGTGCACGAAGCTGGTGGTTCTCAGCATTGGGATCAAACCACAGGATGCTAAGAAAAATGACACGGCTCCAGCAATGACATAGGTACTGGTGTGAGCCTGTTGCTCTTCGAATACACACAGCTGGATAAATGTAATTGCTTAGGCTTCTTCAGACACTGGGGTTCCCAAGACAAATGTCAAAAATCCACAAACATTTAGAATTTCCCCAACAGATATTTTTTTGGCCATTCATTTCACCACAATAGGAGAAATCAAAGTGGATAAAATTTTATTTTATAACTGTACACATGTATGATTTCAAATGCTAATGGTTACAGTGATTCAAATGTTCTGTGAATGTGTCCACAAGTATTTGCCCATGAATATTGTGTGTCTTTGGTTTATTGAATTACTGCCTTTAAGTCAATGTATGGAGTGGTTTCTACAATCTAAGTATTCTTTACTCCTTTTTTCCAAGAGCTTTGCTATTTTGAACTGCATTCTGTTCTCTCTCGCAGGGCCAACGCTTCACTTAAAGCTTTAAGGGAAATGACAGGCTGTTGATTCCAATCTTGTGATTGTCTGTTTCACAGGTTCTTGTTTAGGGCTCGTTTTATTTAGTGAGCCAGATTATTAAATCACATATTCTTCTTTAAAGATCTGTCCTGAAAATAAAGTGATCCTGTAATTCTGACACAGTCAGTTTACCATGTTTCTGTAGATCTTCCACATGCCCCACTTGAGTTCTAATACACATAGGCAGGTTGTGTTTTACCTGCAGGCTCCTCTCTGACTCCACATCTTTTAGGTGAGTCGGTGCTTAGTCCTGTGGTACATGTTTTATGCATCCATTCCTACAAGGGGATTCCTGGAGGCACTGTTCAACTACTTTCTGTTAGCACAAATTGCTGCCCTAAAATGCAACAAGGAGGAAGAGGCTCTATTCTATCCTGGCCCAGTGGCAAGGAATCTGGGGGTAGGATATGAAGTTGTACTATTTCAGAATACATTCTATAATTATCTGAGCCTCCGGGGACCAAGGAATCCCTATGGTGAGCCAGTTTATTCCACTTCTGAGTAAGGCCACACCAAAGAGCAACTTCTCTGATTGATTAAGCTTTCCAGGGAAAAAGAATTTATAATTTTGTCACTTTTCTCCAATGTCTTGTTTTCTATATAACCCACCCCCCCCAAGCCATTCCCCATATCGACCTTAAACCTTCATGCGTCATTCCAACTCCTTCATAGTCACTTCCCATGAGAGATGGAAGCTATCTAACTACAGGAACGATATTATATAGCAAGCATCCAAGTGGGTAAATAATACTGTCACAGCTAAAGCCTCTTCACATCCAGTTAAGTGATCCCTTCCCCTCCCTTTTTTTCTTCAACCTTTGTATTTCTCACTGTGGAACTATTCTAAAGTAGAGAATACATTTGACTATAGCATTATTATTTCATTATACATAATGCCTGGGCTAAGGTGAGCATTGCCTAAGTATCACCCTGATTTCATCAGAGAAGCCATGCACTGTTAGAACAAAAGCCGCATTTTACAGAGAAAGAAACAGGAGGCCCAGATACTGCGGTGGGAACTGTGTCCTGTCCACAGTTGTTTCATGGTGTGCACCCAGGGGCCGGTGGTGGGAGAAAGGACCACGCCAGCCCCAACCTGTCGCCACACTTCCTGTTTTATTTTTGCCTTTGCACTTATCACTGTCTGCTCTTTCTGTCTGGTTGTTGGCTGCTTTTCCTCACTGGCACACAAACTCCAGTAGAACAGGGACCTCGTAGGCTTACTGCCAGGTCCCAAAGCATCAAATAATGCTTGGGCTACATAAAATATTTATTGTTTGGATGATGGGAGGAAGAAGAAAGGGAATAAAATTAGAAATCCATTGCCCATAGTACATGTATGAGTTTGTTGCTATAGGTTTTCCTTATTTGCTATAGGTTTTTCTAATAAAAGCATCCATTTTTGTATCACTGTGGATATTAATCATGGTATCTTATGTTACATTATATGAGCAGGTAGGAACATGGGCTCTGGAATCAGATTGCTTGGATTCAATTCCAGTTTTACCATTGACTAACTGTGCAACTTTAGCCAAGTTGCTGAACTTCTCTGTGCTTCTATTTCTTTATCTGAAAGTGTGGCAGGAAAAAAAAGAAAGAAAGCATACATGGGTATCTTTTGAAATGAGGATTACATGAGATAACACATATGTGTTAGTTCGCTAGGACTACCATAACAAGGTGGCTTAAACATCAGAAATCTATTTCCTCACAGTTCTGGAGGCTGGAAGTCCAAGACCAACGTGCCAGCAAGGCTGGTTTCCAGGAAGGCCCCTCCCCTGGGCTTGCAGATGGTCACCTTCTCGCTGTGTCCTTACCTGGCCTTTTCTCTCTGCACACGCACTGCTTGTTTCTTATTCTCTTCTAATAGGAACATAAATTCTGTTGGATTTGGGGCCACCCTTTTGACTTCATTTGACCTTAATTACCTCCTTTTAAAGATCCTTTCTCCACATACAGTCACGTTAGGGGTCTGGCTTTCAAATATGATTTTTGGGTGGGGGTGTGACACAATTCAGTCTATAACAGCATATAAAGTTAGAACAGTAGCTATCACGCCATTAACTCTGAAGTAATTGTTAACACACCATTATCAGTAGTAGTCTCGTCGTCGTCATCATCATCATCATCATCATCATTTACATCTTTAAAACCCTTTGCATGCCTTACCCTAGTGTCAGTCAGCCCAGTAGTTAGGAGGGAACATCACTGTCCCCTTTAATCTGAGGTGCAAAGATCTGTAACCCCCTCAAAATGATATCACCAAAGCTGATGGCCAAAGAGAACCCAGCCTGCTGAGGCCTGACTTAATTTCCGTCTCATACCTCCCCTCTTCCCCGCCTCAGTCTCCAAATGGGTTGTTTTCCTGTCATTCATTCTTCTCTTTCTGTGATGTCACTCACCTTGCTGTATCTGGGATTCTGGTGGGTATAGGAAATAAAACCACTCTCACAACCTGAGTGAACAGCAAGTGGCCAAGAGACCTTCATCGTTTTTCAAGTTGTTCATTTCAAAGATAAATTTCATAGATTTGGAGCAGTCATTCCATGTTGCTTGCCTCTTAATTCCCCATTTTGCACCAACTCCTGTGTTAGCAAGTGTCACCTGGCAGCAAAATGGTGCCCGCCAGAGAAGTATGGTCCCTGACAGCCACCCACTGAGTGCGGCCTGCAAGGGCCGGCCCATTTATGGGGCAGGCAGACAGTTCTGTGCATGACACTGCTCCCATGGTGGACAGCAGTTTATCTTTGGTAGGCGAGATTTTCTCTTCCAACTTCTTTATGTTACTGATTTTGTTTAATAATACCCTATTTGTTCACAGAAAGCATTAAAATAAACTGTATGATTTGAAATTCATAGCTTTGGGGCAGGACAGTGAACTCAGAATTAATGAGGTTTTATCATTCTGCTAAAGCTCCTCAAAATTCTTGATGTCTTTCTTAGCAGGTTAAAGTCCTAAACTGGGCAATAAATTCAAATCAGGCAACAGGAGAGCCTGGGTTGAAGAGGGAGTGTCATCCCGAAGGTCTATAGGAATAGCACCGGAATTCCTCACTTAATACAGTCTGTTAGGAATGAAGAACAGACGCCATCAATGGCTTGTGTTTTTATTGTTTGTATATAAAATCACAGAAGTTTAGAGTCCAAAAGTAGCTTTAGACTAATGTTTAAAAATCAGAGAAAATTATTTTATCTTTGGATGTACTGAGACCATGTAAGAATATGGCCAGCTTTGAAAACTACAGAAGAAAAAAATTTTAAATTATGTTAATGTGATGTGCATAAGAACATAACGTTGTAAAATCTTTTTCTCCCATTTTCTAAATTTTCCACGATATGGGTATAGCAGTATGATGAAGAACACAATGTAAACATTAAGATGAACCATAATCACTCCAAATATAAAAATGTTAAACCAACTAACAGTGGAACGTAATCTATAATTTTATGGACAGTTTATTTTTAACTATTTATCCTCCAATCTCATGATCTATTTGTTTGTGAACTAACACTTAAGGTGCCTTCTACACCCTTGGGACAGTCATTCGTTCATTCATTCAGCAAATTGGTACTGAGTTCCCACTCTGTGATAGGTGGTCTTCTAGGTGTCAAGCAATAGTGATAACCGAAAGAACAAAATCCTCACCTTTCAGAGTTTACATGCTACTACAGGGAATAATTAAACAAACATATGATATATTGTCAAGGAATGATAAACACTGTGTAGGAAAACAAAGCAGGAGGCTAAAGAGACAAAGTCAGAGGGAGTGGTGATTTTAGACAAATGCAATCATGGAGAAACTTTGGAGGAGCTGGTATTGGCACAGACCTAAATGAAGGATCAGTAGCTGAAGCGGGTGCTTTGGTCCTACTACTACTTCAAAAGAAATTGTAATGTAATTCATAAGCTCTTAAGTTCTTTAAATTGACTCAGTGTGTTTTTTAAATTAAAACCTCTGTATTGCATTTGCCTCTCTCTTCATTCTCATAAATCAGAGCACATCACCTTACTCAGAGCCTGCAGTGGCTCCACATTTCAGAGAAATTCCAAGTTCCTGTGGCAACCTGTGAAACCCTCAATGATTGGCCCTCCAACCCCTAAGTTGCTTCAACTGCCTGGCTGTACCTCCTGGTAACTTCCTCTCAGTGCCACCTCTCTGGCCCAGCTTTCCAGCCCACGAGGTTGGCACTGGCCACTCCTTCCCAGAATCCTCTCCTGCCAGATCTCCATCCACATGGTTCACTTTTTTTCAACTCT